TTAATTAAAAAACAGTCCATTTCATGGTAAGGAACACAAGACTTGCAAATGTAACACAGACCTAATATGGCACATGAGATGGAGAAGGTCCAATCCAGTGCTATCTATAGAATAAATGAATGAGTGAGTGACTGAATATGCATGTTTAAGAAGGTGCTACTGGTGGTCACAGGCTTTCCTCATCAACCCCAACTTCTAAGTGCATTTGTAAATTTATAAACCATTAGCCAGTAATGGGAGACAGTTAGATAGATCCCCGGAGTCTTTCATGATAACAAATGTCTTTATATCAATTTTGTAATTGTGTGGTGAAATCGGATTCAAAATCATCATGGTAGCATATACTTGTAGGAGGAATTCTTTGAGGAACTTGGAGAAAATGCTCCTAGAAGAGCTTCTTCCTCGGGGCCCAACATGTGTTTGCATTCATTCCTGTCTGCGTTCTGTGGCTATGATAAACATGCTTTCCCCCAAACTCAGGATGCCACTTTCCATGATACATCATATTTGGTCATTAAAGAACAGGATTCCATATTAATGTTGGCCTTCTTTAGCAAAGTGTTTTCAGCCAAATATATTAAACTAGTCAACTGCCCTTTTCTCCCGTCAGTAAAACAGTATCCTGAAATCACAGCTCATTTGTACCACACTGGCCTGACTATTCAGACTCCATTTGTCTCTAGCTCTTAGAGGCTGGTGTTAGAGAGGATGATGGACATTTTGTTTTGAATTAGCAAAAGGGAGGAGGAAAGAAAAAACCCCAAGTATTAAGTTTGGGTTAAAATATGTTTCAGGGAACACAGCTCTGCCTTTTCCTCTAGGAAACGTCTATTTAAAAAAAAAAAAGAAATCTAGATTTAATTTGGCATTAAGTTAAGCCTGGGATACAGAGAATAGTAGGAAGGAAAATGTCTTAGGGTTTTTTTTTTACCCCAGACTATTTGTTCTGCTTAAGTACTATTTGAGTATTGTTGCTCAGAGTGGCATGAGATGTTCACAACTTAATCTTGTTAAGCATCCCAAAGCAGAGTTCGGAAGCAGTTGAGTCTGTGTCCTGTAACTGTACAAATCCTACTAGAGTTGGAATCTTAGGAAAGCCATGATGGTTGGTGCTTCAAAGCTAAACAGCACAATCATTGTTTTCTCTTTATTTGTGTACTCACTGGTGCTTATGAGAACAAAAGCCTGGAAAGGAGTTCTAGGCAAGAGCTCCTGGCACTGTTGTGTTTTTCTCCCTGCTCTGTCTCCCTTCTCAGCACAGTCTTTCTCTGTCAATGGTCATGCCAGGCAGGAAGGGGTGTTTTCATGGAGGGGCCTCTTAAAACCAGGTGCAATTCCCTGGCTGGGGAAACACATTTATCTGGGCAAGGTTACTAAAGCTGCACGTGGTGATGTTGGAATGTCTTCTATCCTCTTTACTGTGAAGGTTTCCAGAGTGCTGGGGGTCCCATAGAAACTGTGACCTCGTGTTCCCTCTATTCTCAACCAAATCTTGACTATGCCCAGGCTCACTGTGGATTTTTCTTCTCATATCTCATGACAAGGACCCTGAGAACAGTCTCCTTGAGAGGAGACTCCCAGGGAAGGGAATGGATTCCAGCCAGACCTTCTCCCACATGAACCTAGTTCTACAGCCACTACCAAAAACCCACAGGAAAGACTCTTAGTTTAAGAAAGCTCCCTTCAGATCCTTCTATAAAAAGCTTGGGCCCACCTGAACCAAAGGAGACTAAGGACTTTCTCAAGTGTTTCTAAGGAGGCTCATTCTGCCAAACTCAAGGAGAGAAGAAGACGAAGAAAATAAAAACCCAAACTTCTCTTTCCACTCCATCTGGAGCTTCAACTGACTCCAAAAATATTGTCCCACAGGGGTTATAAAATCTCCTACTCGAAAACAAGGGCAAAGCCTTCGAGGTGCTTACAACTCCAAGCACTTCTTTTACATGCTCATAGGAAAATGATCTTTCTCTCCAAGCCTGTAAGCTGACTGAAATTAATGAAACACAGTCGGGAGGCACCTATGTTGGCTACTGGCCATCATTCATTGGAACACCCCAACTAGGCCATTCATGGATTGCAAAGGGTTTCCTCTTGCTTTCAACATTTCTCATTTGATATCAATAGCAATTTGCATAAAATCACTGACCCACGTGTCGCTGACATTTTGGGCAGCTTCAAGAAAACCGGCATCTTTTTCCTGGCTACTCAAGAACACAAAGAGGAAAGTATGGAAGTAGGTTCTTGAAGAAAGCTGGTATCTCCACGTACATTTAAAAAAAAGTTGGGTGGGGTAAGGGAATAAAGAATAAAGAAAAGCAGGAGGTGGCTTCCAGACCTCTGATAGCCTCTTCTGCTAATAATCAGAAAATCACCCTGAAGATCAAGGGTTTCTACTAAGGAAAGAGAACTAAGGGAGAGGGAAGAAAAATAAATTGAAAGCAAGGAGAGAACTTAAAAGAAACACCACTTTGGAAAATAAAAAGAGAGATGAGTAAATATCTCTACCCCTTTTATTTGCATCGTGCTAGCAGAGCTAATTAGGGAAATTCAGCCCAGGGGTAAGTATGGCCCCATGAGAAATGACATTTGATGGTGAGGCCTAGAGAGGGGCGGCTGGTCATGCCAGGGGCCATGGCCTGGTCCCTCCACTCTAGCAGCTGCCTTGTGGTCTGGCAAGAAAATCCTAAAATACTGCCAAAGCTTATTCTGGGGAACAGGTGGAGTGGGACAATGAGCAGGGGAAAATGGACGAAGGAGGGTATTCAGGGCAAAAGAGGTACAGCCTTCCAACCCTATCTGGAGCCTTTATTTCAAACTGTCTCTTTGGTCATTAAGGATTCTCATCCTGGCCTCCCCTGCTATCCATTCTGATCAGCTCTGATTGGCTGATGAGGAAAACGGGCCCAAAGGAAGGTTGTCCAAGATCCCCTGGGCAGGCAGCACGGGAGTCACACAATGACCACGGGGGGAGTTAGCTAGAAGGGAGCAAAGGTGGGCAGGGCTAGCCCCACAGGAATGGTCTGGGGTATAGCCCAAAAAAACAGGACAGAGAAGGTACAAAATACGTCCAAAAATACAAGGGGAGAAAAAATAGACACATTAGCTCATCTACATGTCCTCACACACCTTCATTAGAGGTAGCATGTAGCGTTCTTCCTCGTGGACGGGTCCTTCTCCTGTTATCTACCAGGAAAACTTTCCATATATAATTTCTGATGGAATCTGTAAGCCACTGCTCCTCTCCCTCTACAGTCTTCCCTGGCGGCCTCATTGACTGATGCACTGCCACTTCCTGCCTGTGGGTGGTGACTCTGAGCGTCTCTCTAGTTCTCACCGGACCTGCATATGCATTGTTTTCTAGACACATGCCTTTGCATGCCCCACGTGCTTCAAATTAGTAAGTCCCATTTGGATCCCCAGATAATATTCTCATGGAAAGGCCACCATAACTGGGGCATGCTCGTGCTATTTACTGTTTCCTACCTCTTTGGGGAAAAGGTGACTCACTCTTGCTATTAGTCAATCGTACGTTTCTCTCAATGTTTCTCCTCAGCCTTAGCTTATTTCTGCCTGTCTTCAGGAACAGCAAGTGAGGAGAAAGCACCTTTAATACTCAACATTTGGAGACAGTCTTAAAGCAAATAAATTACAGGTTCAGAGGCTGCATCTAATCCTCCTTCCATTCATTCATTCATTTAATAAATATTACAAAATGTCTACTGTATACAAAATCTCCTCCAGTGCTATGAGAGTTGCAGAAGGCACACTTTCTGATTTCAGAATTTATAGAGTGTCACAGGGAAATGAGAGCTGTACACAAATGACTATAATACACCATAGGAACTGCAAATGCTCTGAGAGTAACGTCATCGCTAAAGGAGTTCAGGAGGGGAGAATCAGAGGGAAGCCCATGTGCAAGAAACAAAAAAACAATCAGCATATTAGAGACAGAAAATGATGGCGGCAGCATTGTGGACTGAATGGTATTTCCCCCAAATTCATACGTTGAAATCCTATCTTTCAGGACCTCAGAATGTAACCGTATTTGGAGACAAGTTCTTTAAAGAGTGATTAAGTTAAAATGAGGTCTTTAGGGTGGGCCTGATCCAATATGCCTGATGTTTTTACAGGAAGAGGAAATTTGGGCACAGAGAAAGACACCAGACAGGTGTGTGCCCGGAGAGACGACCATGTGGAGACACAGGAGAATGTGGTCATCCGCAAGGAGGGCCTCAAGAAATCTCCCATGCCAACACCTTGATCTCAGACTTACAGCCTCCAGAATGGCGAAAAAAGAAACCTCTGTTGTTTAAGCCACTTAGTCTGTGGGTTTTCGCTATGGTAGCCTGAGAAAACTCACACGGGAATGGCAGATACAATCTTGAAACGACAATTGCCTGAGTGGTGTGCGAAACTCCTGAAAGAACTTTTCCTCCTACCGGAGCCAAGCTCAGCAAAATTGTGAATGAGTGAAGTGTCCTTTCGTTTCTCCATCCTCTAAAATGGAAATCCCCTCTTTCACCTCTGTAGGTGGTCCCTGTTCTGGTATAAATTTTCTCCCAGGTGAGAGCGTTTGGTTGAAAGTGAGGGGTTCCTTAGTGCTCCTGAAATTACCAGTGTTTGCACAAAGACGAGCTTATTCACCTTGGAAGGCTGACTTGTGTTATCTTTATTGATTCAAGTCACTAGCATGTTTCACAGGAAGTGAAGACTTCATTATTGATCCAGGACTGTTTTGTGAAAGATATTACGTTGCAGGAAAAATTTTAAAATAAAGCAAAATAATCAGACTAGAAAACAGGATACAAGACTTGATAGAGCCTTCAAAACTTGATAGATTCTGATTAATTAACTGGTACGTAAAGTAGAAAGGCCACAGCAGAAAACCTGGTTTCTCACAGTGCATCTTTAGATGTAAGAATTTAGGATATCTTGCACAGAGGCTATGTCATTCCTAAGAAAGGAACCCAAAGTATTAATTAAACATAAACTTCACTCACAGGTCAGCAATCAGATGTCTGAGCCTTCTGGTTGATCACCAGTCCCTATGGAATTTGATTTGATGATCTTGAAATGTTCCAATGATACCTGGAATAAAAGGAGGATGGAAACATAATTAAGTTGAATGAATTTTAGTTAATACAGACTATATATTTTCAAATACCCTTTTTCCCTCAAGTGCTGTTGTTAGAATCTAAAGGGAGAAATAAGGGAGGAGTAGAAATAGCTATTGTACATTTGCATTTTAAGGAAAATAGAGACAATTATTACAGAGTCCATCTCAGAATTATTCTGAATGAATTATTCTGGAGAAGGAGGTATAGTTAAGACAAACCCTCTGGCAGGGACAGTATCTAATTGCCAAGTTTCCTTTTCGCTGCTCCCAATCTCCTTGGTATTTTTATTTTAAAATTTGAGAATGAATAAAGGAAGAAAATGTTTTCAGTAGAAAACCTTTTTGGTGTATATTGTCTGTGTATGTCCGTGAACTATCTCGTCAGTGAGAAAAAGGAAGAGTTTCAAGAGAAAACATCACATGAATGGCAGAGTGACTGACAGTAGAATTTTGTCTTCAGACAATCTCTTTCCCTTCTATTTTCAGATTTAGGGTCTAAGGGCCAGAGAGTTGCTAAAGCTCTTACTCCCTGCTTTAAGATCTTTCTCTCCCATCAGTTACCTTGCAACTTCAATAGACGCCCCGGTGAACCATTCCTCACTTTAGCCCTTTAAGCCATGGCTTTTAATGCCGTGCCCGACACACACATCCTGGCTGCCCTGGCTCAGAAACAGTTGCCAAAGGTCTCTGCAGGGAAAGCTGAGTCTAGACCGGAGGTAGTAAGGAAGGAAAAGGCCCAAGATGAAGGAAGACGGGAAGGGAGCTGGGCTCTGTTAGGCAAATGAGCCTGTCTTCCTCCCGAGTCCCCATCGCAGCCGGTGGCAAACAGCCAGGCACTCGTTATTGCTCCTTTGATTTAACCATCTCCTCAGGCATGGGAAGAAATGAGTTTTACATGAAAATATTTACTATAGGAGATTTCTAGTCCTCTAAGAATAGTGATTTTCTTAGAACTCTAAAGTCACTGGGTCGCATGAAAAACTGTAACTAGCATCTTTCTAGATTAAGCAAATAGAAAAACATTGCTAGCACATATTTACAGGAGATGGCTAATATCCTACGTTAAAATTTCTGCGGCAAGTATTCTCAGAAAGATGGCATTTCCCAAATGGATACTAAGAGGCTGGTGGTGGGGGAAGAGGGGAGGGTGATATAACTTATTTCAACAGAGAATCATTGCAAAGGTTAAATTAGAGATCCTTCATAAAAATAAATAACTGTAAATAGCTAACAGGAAGAACTAGGTTTTAATTATTTAAAATTTTATCTTACATGGTTGAATTAGGGTCTCTGATTTCAACAGTATCATTTTTATGAAACAGTTCCTCCGTGATCTTTCCATAATATGCTTTGCTTTTGTTATGGAAATAATAATAGCCATTGTTTGTTTAGTATTTTTCAGTGTTAGACCCTGTGCTAAGCACACTGCACACATTATTTCTTTCCTTTTTTTTTTTTTAATACTTTAAGAGTTCTGGGATACATATGCAGAACGTGCAGGTTACATAGGTAGACACGTGCCATGGTTGTTTGCTGCACCCATCAACCTGTCATCTATGTTAGGTATTTCTCCTAATGCTATCCCTCCCCTAGCACCGCCCCCCTACCCCTCCGACAGGCCCCAGTGTGTGATGTTCCCCTCCCTGTGTCCATGAATTCTCATTGTTCAACTCCCACTTATGAGTGAAAACATGCAGTGTTTGGTTTTCTGTTCTTAAGTTTACTGAGAATGATGGTTTTCAGCTTCATCCATGTCCCTGCAAAGGACATGAACTCATTTTTTATGGCTGCATAGTATTCCATGGTATATATGTGTCACATTTTCTTTATCCAGTCAATCATTGATGGGCATATAGGTTGGTTTCAAGTCTTTGCTATGGTGAACTGCAATAGACATACGTTGCACACATTATTTCATTTGATGACTGTAATAACCTTGTAAGATAGATATTCTTATCTTAGAATAAGCACTGAGAAGTTCCTTGGCTTAAGTCATTTGCCTGAATTCACCCAGCTAGTGGTGAGGCCAGTATTCAAAGCCAGAGCCTGACCCGCCGTGCTGGGTGTATTTGGTGGATACAGGAGCACATTTCCTTGTTCATTGAGTGAGTCCTCTGCTCCAGGACAGGGCACATGATGATGCACGAGGACTCTGTTTCCATGGAGCTTACACTCTGCTGGAGTACAAACAACACGCCTTTCTGACAGTGAGCAAATAAAAAATCAGCAGGATGTGAAGAGGGACACTAAGTGTCCCTGGAGGTTGGATGGTGAGGGACGGTCTCGGAAAAGGAGACATCTAGATTAAAAATACATTTCTGGGAAGGAGTCCCCCATGTAAAGATCTGAGGGAAGCATGTTCCAGGCAGAGCCCTTGAGAAGCCTGGTGTGAGGCTTTTATGAGATGGCTGCGTGCTCTGGAACCATTAAACTCTTCCAAGTTACTTAGTCCATGTGAGATTGAGGCTCATATGTCTGTTTGTAGAATACACAATGCTGAAAGATGTGCCGGGCAGAGGGTCTTACCAAAAAACGATACCCACAGGGCTGCCTTTGCTGGAAAGCATGAGAGGTTGTCCCTGCCCAGAGATGAAAGTGCCAGGGAAGCATATGGTCACCTTTGTTTGCAGTACCCAGAAGGATGGAGGTTCCTCACTCCCTTTTTTGCTTGGTAGACTTCAAGAGAGCTGCGTTCTACAGGCTTGCATGAGCTCCTCCTTTCATATGTTAGAGGATAAGGCAGACCATTTCTTAATAACAGATGGAAAAACGAAAAGCTACAGGATATAACCCTTATAATGGGAAAGGAATGGCGAGTAGCTATTTCAATCATAGTTGGCAGGAAGTCACATAATTTGTAGAGATGGAAATTAAAATAAAATATTTAAAAACAGATTGATGGGTTTTAGTCAGAATGAGCCAGTAATAATAAAAAATTATTAGTTGTCTCTGCTTTACATTTATATTGAATATGGGAGCTAGGAGTATGTTAGAAGGAAAGAAATATATGACATTAGAGAATTTGGGTCATTTAAATAAATACTAACAAGTGAATCGACCTTGAACAAGTAATTTAACCACTCGAGTCCTTCTTCTGTAACATGTAGCATTTGGAATGGATTTGCAACAGTACTTCAATTCAGATGGTTTATTTCTACCATCTTTCCATGCAAAAAGAAATGTATTGTGTATGTGAATGACCTTGTGATAGTTTTGAATAAAACAATTTCAACCAAGTTCCCCCTTTTCAGCATCTAACAGGGTGCTCAGAGAAGAGTATTGCTTTTCAAGGCCACCTACCTCTACCCCTTCTCTATTATGTCTAAGAGATGAATGTATTTTATAGCTCTAAGAGAAATGATAATATTATTATATAATAATATCTATAATTTATTGAATACCTACTATTTGCAAGGTACTCGATATCTGTTCTTTCATTTAGTCTTCACAAGAAAACTGGGAAACTTGTTGTTTTTTATTATTCCCATTTGGAAGTAAGATTTATTGTCACATAGTTAATAAATGACCAAGTTGGAAATTAAAACCCAGATTTGCTTTATTCCAAAGCTCCTTCCATGACTGGATACATGGGGCAGCCATAGCTGCCAACATTGACACTTTCTTTTACCTTTTTGAGTTCTATAAAACACTTTTCTTTAAATGTTTTGGAGGAAATTGTTGATGAGTTTGTGGACTGTAGCCAGACTGACTTAAGTATCTAAATGGAATAGCTTGTGGCAGTCCAGTGCTTTCATTGAGAACAACTAGAAACTCTGGATGATATTCCACAAAACCAAAATCAATTTGGAGGTATCCCAGAGCTGCTGTGGTAACCAGGATTTGAGGGGCCAACATCTCGGAGAGAAGGAAGGCCTGGAAAAGTCATCTCACATTCAGTGATTTCCCCCTCAAGGAATTTGGTATACTTAAGATACAAGGAACAAGAGGATACAAGAAAGAGACTAAGGAGAACATTTCTGAGAAACAGAGCAGAGTCTTAGCAGTCTTGTGGAGCTGAGTAGAAAAAACTTTAAGTGCAAGGCGGAAGGAGCACTTTGGGGTGACAGAGCTGTGCTACATCTTATCCATGGTGGTTGTTATTTGTATGCACTTGTTAATACTTGCAGAACTGTGCGCTGACAAGAGTAAATGACACTGTGATAAAGGGTCTTGGGAAACAACCTTAGTTAGGACCCTTGGATATTTCAGCCATGGAGAGGGAACAAACCAGAGGTTGAAGGAGTCACGCAAAATGGAAGATGAATTGTAGATCAGCTCAGCCCTGTTTAACTGATGAGAACTTCCCCAACTCTATCAAACAACCAGAAGATAAGACAATCCCTATGTGCAGGAAAGTAATATCACCCCGCACCTAAATGAATATCTATGTGGAAAAAGGAAAATCAAAACTTGACCTCTATTCAGATTGATTGTAGATTTAAATGTGAAAACTTACATATGTGCGCTTTCAGGAAAAAAAAATTCTCCATGATTTTGGGTTAGGCAAGGATTTTATAAACATGACATAAAAACCATTAAGTATAAAAAAAAAACTTGTGTTGCATTAAAGCTAAAAGCCATAAAAAGAGTGAAGAGCCAAGCCATAGATTGAGAAAATAATACTAACAATATGTATGACAAAGAACTTGTATCCAGAATATGTAAAGAATTTCCACACATCAAAAAGAAAAAGACAGATGATCTAATAGAGAAATAAGTAATGATTTCAACAGGCATTTCACAAAAGAGGATATTTAAAATTGCTAACAACTGAAAAATAATTTCACTGGGTGTGGCGGTGCATGCCTATAGTTTCAGCTACTTGGGAGGCTAAGGTGGGAGGCTCTTTGAGCCAGGGAGGTCAAGGCCACAGTAAGCCATGATCATGACACTGCACTCCAGCCTGGGTGACAGGAGATCTTGTCTCAAAACAAAATCAAAAAGACAAAAAGCCCAACAAGTATATGAAAAA